TATATATATACATAATTTATCTAGAAGTTCCAAGAGATGTGTACCTTTCCACATATAATAACGCGTATTATATCAGAAATGGATAGAGTAAACGTATTTGACAAATCATTATGGAAAGATAGGAGAAGGCAGATATCTTTGTCATAAATGTATATGTAATATAGATAGATTTCCTTTTAAGAAACACACATGATAGAAATAAGAGAGTACTGAATATAAGCTTTTAAATACTTATAAAGCTTAATGTGTATTAAATGATAATATCTATACTTTTCCAGTTAATTTGTTCTTCCAGATTTTTTCTTCTTTTTCAATAAAAATATTTATATTCAAAATATTTTGTTTGTAAACAGAACGAAGAATAGTTATAAATCTAATAATATTTGGCATTATTTTATTTAGAAAATACACAGCAATTTTTAAATATGAATAATGAAACATACAGACATACATATGATGTTACATAAAATAATTTTTATATATATCATATATGTGTATATATATATACTTCTATTATATATATCGTTCTTTTTAAAAAACTGCGTCAACCTTTTTTTTTAAGTTGACTTTGTTGTACTTGCTATTTTTTTCATTAATGCTATCTCATCAGGGTATCACATGTAATATTAGTTCTTATATGAAGAGTATCTTAAGCGATTTTATAATACCAACCCTTATATAAAACCAAATTGCGCATGAAAAATTATTATCCTCATAAAATATTTCTTATATGCCAAGTAATCAGTGTCTTATAAATTTCATATATTGCTGAATTTAATAATATTTTTCAGTTATAAAATATATAATGTTTGAGTATGCCTTTCGGAAGGCGTTCTTGCAAAATTATATAAAGATTCTAGAAGTTGTAAATTTGGCAATAGATAAGTTTTATGAGCAATGTGCTCTTATAACATGCTCTTACACGTAATAATAATTCGTGTCTGCGTAACAACTGTAAAATTAGTACGAGACTAAACGTAATATTGCGTGTATAAATACATTATATGGACGTTGTTACAATATGTATGTGACATATTATTTCTTATTTAGATTTTGTTGCATGAATAAAATATTTGTTCTAATCTTACATCATGGTTTATGATATCGGAGTTATTAAACACTTATTGTATTAACTTTTATTGTATATATATATCGGTTCGAACTGAAGGAATAATTTGTAATTTTACAATGCATTATAACCCAAAGAGTAATAAATTATAAAACCTCGTTTAAATCTAATCTTTTATATCAAATACGTTTCGACGATCGAGCATAGCAGTAAAAGAAAAAGATATATTTAGAAATTCATATACGATTTGTCTTCTTTCTGTGTCCTGTCAGATGTAAGAAAAATTGAAATGGACATTTACCATTTCTATGCAAAGTGATATAATGATGCTGACAGAGGTTACAGAATAACAATTTCTAAGAATGATGTAAATGTTTTCAAGTGTAGCATATCTGCACATTTATAAAATTACAGTACAATTGATATATATTCATTTCTCTTCTTTTTTAAGATATAAAAAAAGATACATTGTGTGTGTGTGTGTGTGTGTATATATATACACACACACAATGTATCTTATATACATTTTTCCTTGAATTATCGTCCAATAAAAATAACATTTAATCATTGACAAAGTTATAAATTTTGATAACATTTTTCCAAATTACAAATAAGTGAAGATCCTTGTAATCAAGGATCATAATCTCTGATTTCTTTATATATGGCTGCTATATGAATAAAAAATTCACGACATTCAAATAATCGGTTTCTTTCTGGTACAAATGTTTCAGTTTTATTTAGCAATTGTTAAACCGACACGATATACATACAAAAGATGTAAATATTATACAAGTCAAATGGATGCCCCAATGATGCACAATGTCTTTTTATGATAACCAATACCCCCATTTACCTTTCTTTTTAATAATTTTATTAGAGCAAATGAAAAAATTGCTTCATCTCAGCCATCTATCACCCATAAAATATTGATTCCCGACGATCCTGCATTAACTCGTCCCAACATGCCGTGATCTCGCGTTTTGACTATATATAAGAAAAGTAAAAGCGTATGGAACAAATTATTGCGCCCCTGGAAATGTAACACGTTATATAGCAATGAAAATATATAATATAATATATAATCACATGATAGATATTTTAGTTACCCGTTGTACTTCTTCGTAATCGCTCGGAAGCGAATCGCCCGACAATGCCAAACTATAGTGCGGCGGATTCGCAGACTGACAGACTATTATCGGGCCTTTGTTCCGCGGGAGTTCCATGCCAGATCTCGCCATGTATCTCGATGTAAACGGTCTAGCATCCGGTTGATCTAAGGGCGCTTCCAATTGTGTGTCCATATAAGTCGAAATTAAATGCATTATTATCTACAGGAAAATATACAGAATATGTCATTACAAAACATCAATGAAACTTTCGCAAATATATATTTAAACTAGAGAAGAAATATTTATATAATTTTTTATATATGCTTCCATATACCGCGGAATCGGTTGGCAAACTGGAATCCCATTCCTTGCCATTGTGAGACCCGCCACTGTTCCATTTAAATTCGCTCATAGATCCTCCCTTCGCAAGTATCTTTATTCGTTTTACAAGATACTCCTGATTGTTAGAGAGTTCCAAGAAGGGAACCAATGTGGGTAGAGTAGGAATCGCGGAGATCAGAAATTGTGCTTGCGCGAGTTTTCTGAGTCTATCAAGCCCCACATGGCCCGGTTGCGAATCGCTCAAACCGTGACGTACCAATGCCGCGCATATATTATCTATCTCCAAAGCCACACGTTCCACAACTGTTTTGCTAATCCACTAAAGTATTTTATAAAATTAAAAGTATTCAATTATGCATAATTCTTACTTCTAACAGCATGTATTTTCGCTTATAATATAATTCTTACCATACGAAGATTTGCAGTCCATTCGTTGACCTTGTTTAAATCAACTCTGTACTTCCTCCATACATCTAATGCTCCAAACGTGCCTCTTGGAGAGCTCCCTTCTTCAGTACCAGGACTAGCCGCTTTTGTTTTATCTAAATAATATAGCATAAATAACATCATACATTAAAATAATTTTACACAAAGAAACGAAGCAAGAAGAATGTAAAACATGTTTAATATGAGATAAATTTCTGATTTACCGATGGTAGGTGCAAGCTGATAAGCGCATCTTCTTAACAGTGGTGAAACTTCACCAGGAGTTCGAGTAGCAGGATGAGACCAGAAGGAACTCAAGAGATTGGAAGGTTGATCAACCTTTGTGGATAGTACACATTTTCTTTGCTGTTCAATTTCTTTGAGATAACTTTCTAATTCACATTCATCTTGAATAAGATCTTCGTTTGTCAGACTACTGTTTGAAGAAACGTTTAACGATCTAAACAATCCATTAGAGCTTACGGCTGATTTAGGAGATGTAGGGCTAGAGTATTTAAGAAACGTCGAACAGTCCTCTTGAAAAAAAAGAACAAAAAAAGATAAATATAAAAAACTATGCTTTATATATTAAAATGTAAAGTATAATAAAAGATTAAACAATATATTTGGCATACTAATGTCACTCAAAACTGAAGATCCAAGAGGCGTTGTACGTCTACTGAAATTTATGCAAGACAAATTCAATGAGGGGCTTGGATCTGGAGTTTTCTGTTTCTGAGGCACTTCAATCTTGAACAGAGGATCATCTTCCGTAATTCCTAAAAGTGGTCTTTGTTTGGGACTGAGTGTGATTGGCTTTAAGCTCAAGATAGCCCAGGTATATCGTATAATATGATACAAAGCATTTAGCGCAAATATTGACGCTAGACACCACTCGATCCAATAAACTGGCTTATAAGCAGGTCCACCGTATACACTGAAAACAAAATTAAGCTTATGAGCATTACTTTCCGTTTCATATCGCTTAAGAGAAACGGAGAGAATCTTACATATCAAATACTATAATACTAAGCAACACGCTGTTGATGAAGAACCATGTGATACTGTTGCGTGCTTTGGTTTGCGTTTGCCTTAAATCCAGTAACTGCTGCACTTGCGGCTTAGGCGTTAAAACTCTGCAAATAAAACATTTATTGTAATTTAAAGAGTGTTTTATATAGCAATCACATGTAAACACGATCTAACCTCGTCGAATAATATATGTAAAGTTTTTCACCTTGCGTTAGAAGATATACACTTCATAGGTGAGTGAAAATTACTCATTTTAAAAAAGTCTACGCTACATTAATGCCGAACAATTACTATCTTCTGTACATTTCAAGAGAATTACTGGCTACTTCAGCGGACAAAGCATGATTTCCATTTACATTCAAATGCATGCTCTTTAAATTTGCTGCCAACAGTACAATTTTCTATTGTTATTAGTCCCTAGTCCCTATGTCATCATTTCGAAGTCGATCAATTATCGAATCGGGGACTTTTTTCCGTGCTTTTATTTTCCACTCTATCTAATTCTCCAATCCAATCGAGTTTCGTGTAACGCTCGCATGGTTTTATCCATAGACATAGGAGGATAGGTTTTATCCATAGACATAGTATATCTAGACCGAGCGTTTGCCTTTATTTAACGAGTGGGGGCCGATGCCCACGTAGAAAAGGACATAATCTGTTTCGTGCCCCTTGCGTTCTCTCTCGCTCGCACAGAGCATAGCGCTCTCTTTCGTCATGCTACGTGCGAGCTAGAGAGAACGGGGGCACGAAACAGAGTATGTCCTTTTCTACGTGCACCTCGGCTCCCACTCCTCAACACTCGGCTCTCTTTCGTCATGCTACGTGCAAGCGCAAGGGGCACGAAACAGAGTATGTCCTTTTCTACGTGGGCATCGGCCCCCACTCCTCAACACTCGGTCTAGATATACTATGTCTATGGTTTTATCCATACTATGTCTATGGTTTTATCTGACGTATGACGCATATTGACGTACGTATCGGAGCTGTTGGAAAGAGCATGAGAAATGTAAAATACGCATAGTAATCTCATATGAAACACGTATATCACGAAAATTGACGAGTCAAAAAGAAACTTATTGTTAGTATCTATAGCGAAAAACTACTTGCCAACAAGCGCGTAAGCTGCTGTTTCAAATATGGTTTATGTGACAGACGGTAATATACCCTAGATTGATTTTTTTACGTTTAAAAATATTTTAAGTAACTTCTTCAAGTTAGATAGATAGATAAATAGATAGAGAGAGATAGAGAGAGAGAGAGAGAGAGAGAGACACACTATAATCCAAGAAAAAATATTTATGTTTAAAAGATATAGAATCCCTGCGTCTTATGTATATGTGCATTAATTTGTTTTTTCTCTCTCTTTTAGATGGAAGTGTAGTAAAATCTACTCCATGGGGATTAAAGAGAGTTTTTGGGCTTTTCACAGGAGTAATTTATATGATCATTATGTTGTAAGTACTTAATAATTGTTTGTAATGAAAACTCATAATATACATTTTATTAATGATCTCTCGATTCACTAATTATATAACTGTTTTTCTCTATTCTTTTAACACATACTATAATACACTGGAAATAGTTTTCAGACATTAATCAATCCTGGTATGAATAGAGCAGAAAGTCAATATACAAGAGATTACCGACCAGGATCTGGGTAGAGTATTTTTTTTTTTAAACAGCATGTATCGACCGATAAACATGTAAAGTAATAAATTTCGCATTTTTTTTTTTTTTTTAATTATACAGGCCGCGTCCTCCACCACGTAGGCTTGGTAGACCAAATACAGGAAATAATGTCGACATTCCATTCTTCGGAGGTTGTAGTAGTTGCGCGAGATAAAATATTTTTAAAAATTTATTTACTATATATTTAAATATGAAAGAGATTTGAACTAACTCATTGATATTGATATAATTGAAAGATGGAATATGCAATTGTATTTATGTCAATTGGTCTAGTGTCTTCTATTATGGAATAGTAAATAACTTTATCTATAATTCTGTTATGGTTACCATGTATGTTTACATGTGCCATAATGGATGAATACAGGCAAAAACGGGAATCGTTAAGCACACTGGAATATACAATGCAACCAATTATACCATTTTATTGACAAACGTTTTCTTTACTTCTTTGTATTGTTCTTACTTCTTTATTGTATTTGGATAATTAATCAATATATCAAAATTTATTTTTACAGCAATTATGTCTTATTATGGATATTTTTTTCATAAATTTTATAAAATATTTGAGTCTCTTTTATATATCAACTTTTAATAACTTGAGGATTCCATTACATTTATTTTGTCGTACGACGAGTTTGTCAAATGTATCAGTTAATTATTGGACAGAGAATTTCTAGGATTTCCAAAGTTTCTTGCAACAGCAGTCGATCAATACATCCAACAAAGCTTGTCGAACGACAAATGTAATAATGCCCCAAGACTATTTCTTTAACATATATTTAACATCATAGGCTCTTTAATCATTAAGAGATTCAAATAATGCAGAACTATAATTGATACAATCATTAATGAAAATAATAAATAATATCAATAATGAATATAATGATCGTATCTTTATTGGACATATTAAATTAATTTGACATTCAACATATATTACAAACACACAAATATTTTGCATGATACATATTAACTAAGGAAAAAGTCTTTAAGTCAGTAAAAAACAATCTTCTGTATTATTGTAAATAAAATAAAGTAACAACCTAGCAAATTTTTATTTATCAGCCTGTGTAATATACAAATACAAGAGCAATGTATATATAGATCTAAGTGATACCTCTGTGGAAAAATTATGTTGCTTATTGTTGAGACTCCATTTTCGAGATGTGTAGTTTCAAATTTACAAAATCTTTGTAATCAAACCAGCTGCAATGGTGGTACCCTCTAATCGTAACATAACTCTTCCTAGCTGCTTAATATCCTTGTACAACTCCATACAGACTGGATTTTGTGTTGCAACCTCGATGATTGCGCTACAATTCTTCGGTAAGCAGCGCGGTTTCTTCTTGATCATGTCACCGGTACCTCGATGAAGCTGCGCTATTAATTTCGTGATAAACGCTGGCTGTACTAAAGACTGCTGATGCATCACCACTGGAAGCCCTTTCGTGATTGGTCTCGCTATCGCAAATACAACTATGTGCGCTTGAAAGCACGTTGTTACGGGCACTGGATTCTGCGGATTACAAATAATATCGCCGATGCCTACGTTTTGCTGATCGATCCCTGCTAATGTCAGCGCAACATGATCACCGGCGAATGTGTTTACCATCGAGATTTCGTCCAACTGGAGACCTATATTTAAATACGAGAAAAGTTATGAAAATATTATAATATTCTTCATATATCGTACAATGTTTTATCGTTATGGATTCAATTTAAAACTTACGAACCTTTAACGACCGCAATCTCGTTTTGAGGTAGTATTAATATCTTGTCACCTAAGGACACCATACCCGTTTCAACGTGACCAGATACACAGAATCCGGACCCGGTACCCTTAAATATATCGTTGACCGAGAAACGGAATGGTTTATTTACAGGTCGCTCCGGGCATTTGAAATTATCAATTACATTGATTAAAGTAGGTCCGGTATACCTGTAAAGAATTTATTTAGTGAGAAATAGACAAAAATATGCACATGTGGAATATCGAAATGTGCTAATAGTTACCAGTTAGAGAGCTGCTCCTTTGGTTTCGTCACGATATTTTCGCCGGATAAACCACTACAAGGTACAAAGGTAACAGTGTCTTTAAAGCCAGCTTGTTTCAAGAAAACGCTCATTTTGTCGACTATCTCGTTGAATCTGTCCTTCGACCAATTTACAGTATCAAGTTTATTTACGACTACTGCTAGTTGCGATACTCCTAAATATTCGATAAAAATTTGAGATAACGCAATTTAGAAATAAAAAATTGATATTAAATATATCCATTTCTTGTAAAATCGAAATAGATTGAGACTGCTGGGATGTATTACCCAAAGAACGAAGTAACAGTGCGTGCTCGCGTGTTTGTCCCCCGCTGTCAAATCCAGTTTCAAACTCGCCTCTGGTCGCATCAACCACCAATAAAGCTACGTCCGCTTGCGTAGCGCCAGTGATCATATTTGGAATAAAATCCTTGTGGCCAGGCGCATCTAGGAGAGTGATAGACTTTGTGTCCGTTTCAAACTTCGAATGACCTATATCCATCGTTATTCCTCGCTCTCTGTTAAAGATACATCATAATGATAACATATTTCCCTATAATAATTTTGTAAAACTGATGATAGGATGTCGAGTAATCACCTTTCTTCACCAGTTTCATCGAGCACCCAAGCGTAGACAAAAGACTGCTTCCCTATCTTCTTACTCTCTTGCTGATATTTGTGAATGAGTCTCTGCGGCACTTGACCCAAATCACATAGTAGTCGTCCCAGCAACGTGCTTTTTCCAGCGTCGACATGTCCCACAACTACCAAGTGAAGCTGCTCCTTGTTATCACCTCTCTTACTCTTGTATATTGCTTGAACATCAACTTTTTCTTCATTAGCTGCGTTGGATTTTCCTTTGAGATCTAATTCTGGTGTTACATGACCTGATATGGGTGACTGACATCTCGGACTGTTAGTTTTCGACGAAACCGTTTTCTTCTCTCTCTGTATGATATCCTCTTTGCGTTTGGTTTCAGGACTGTTTCGATTGGAAGACGGGCTCACGCAGCGTGGATTCAGTAAATCTGCGTTTTCTACACCGCTTAAATCGAAACCCTTTACGACGGGTTTTGTTCCGGCGGGTACAACCTTCACGGTAGAAGGCGTTGTAACTTGCAATGCAGACTTAGATGATAATTTGTTACCTATTATGAAATTTAGCCATGCTAGGATAATTACATAAAAAATAAGAGTAAATTCTTATATAATTTGTTAATATGTATATGTGTATATATATTTTTAATATAATTATACAGAAATTGTTTGTATAAATATAAATATGTTGTATGTAATCACAGTAATGTAATGTTAGTATTGATTTTGATGTGCAATATGTTGCAACACATTGCATAGCAAATAATGAAAATGAGATTATATACACATATGTATATATATATATATATATATATATATATGTATGCATGTGTATATAAATACACACACACACACACACACACACATATGCTACCATATAGGTAGATACATGCATGCATGCATACATACATATTATATATATATATATATACACACATAATGAAAGAAAGAGATGTGTAATAATTTCAATAATTGGATATCTGATTGAATATCCTTGACAATTTCATTAATAAAACATAAATTGTTATAAAAGGATAAAAGTATATATAATCTTCAATACAAGTATCATTTCACTCATTACACTTTTAAATATATTTAATTGTTAAGATCGATTTGAATATTGATATGGAAGAGAAAAATCAAAAGCTTTAACTGTGTTGTAACTTTGTACAAGGACTTTAAAAACTGGTCTTTTTGTCTTCCACTTCCTACACAAAGTTTTCCCAAATACTGAAACATTCTTTTTCGTATATGGAAGTTTAACATGTCTCAATGCGCATAAATTTAGAGTAATAGGTAGCGCATTCGATAATACACTATTTTTATTATCTTCCATACATATTTCCAAATTAGGCATATCGTAATAAAATTTTCTCGAAATGGCCATATTAGCATTACTAGAAGTGCAGTCGGTCAAAAATTCTGCTTCCTTTAAAGCAGTACTCAAATCAATCATCCAATTGTCAGGCGACGGAGTGCGTATTTCATTTATAACATTTATTGGATCTTTAAATTGTTCTTTGGATTCTATGTTTGTCACATCATTATTTTCTAAAAAGATATACATGTCCGAGAAATCTTTTTCGAGTAAATCAACTGGATGTTTGCTATTTGTATGTACTGGCTGTCTTTTACTATCATGACGCTTCAATGATTGTATATTCCCCACATCCGCGTTGTCATTTTTCTTAATTGACAATTTTGCGATAACAAACTGCGAATTCGGCAATTGCTCCTTTTCGCGAAATTCTACATTAGCTACATTAGATTTTTGCAAATGATGTGCAGTTAAAGCAGCTAAAGAACCAAAGGACTGCGCATCTGTATTATTTTGCGAACATATTTTTGTTGTATCTGAATGTATGGATTCTGTATGATGGGATGTAAGTCCAGCTAATGATGAAAAAGTTCCGAGAGGATATTTTTCATCGCTTAAACTATCTATGTTTTTTGGATGACAATATACAGTCGAAGTAGAATCTTTGAGTAAATTATCTTTTTTTTCGAAAGAAAGTTTAGGTATGGTAAACATAAATGTATTAGGCTTATCAACTGAAACACCTTACCTTACCGATCAAGTCCCATACAAGAAACATGAAAAAAAGCAAAAGCATGAGGTCATTAAATTGTTTCAAATATTTATATCTTATTTTGAAATAATGCTAAAATCATTAGAGAGGTCATTATTTCAAAATATATAATCTTACGCAATATATACCTGGATACCGTTCCAATCGTTCTTTACTTATTGCTGGATCTGTAAATATATTCCAAGATTATTTTCATATATCAATCTATATCAGTTTTAATATTCATCACAATGTAATAAATGTACCATTTTTCGGCGAAGATTCTTTTAAAATAGCATCAAGCGCTACATCTGTATCAAAGTTTGATGCAATAATTTTTTCTTTCAACTTAGATTCAGACACAGTATCACCTATGACGCTTCTGATTGCTTCTAAACAATATATTAGCTTTGCCTTTTCCAATTTGGGAAGATCATATTTATCTTCATTAAGGGATGTCGAAGATTCATCAATGTCCTCATTGTCTTCTACTATATCTGGTTCGGTGATAAATGAAGCAATATTCTGTTGTTTGCTTCGATCAAACAAAAACTGCTCCACTATATATATATATATATATATACCAGATTAATAATTATTATATAGTTATGTATCGTTAAAAAACTGAGAAAAATTTATAAATCAATCTCAAACAACATACCACTAGGTGATACACAATAATCGTCCTCTACTGAATGCCCATATACATCATCGTAGCCATCATATTCTGTGCAAAATATATTTTTATGATAAAGAGATTATATTTATCATATATTATTTATTATATAAAGATTATTAACTTCTGTATATATTTTTAATGAAATGTCAGAAAATATATTTATATATGCAATATGATGTAGAAAAAATTGTTTAGAATTTAAATCATAAAAGCGTTATCATTTTTCATATATCTTATAATTAGACCGATAAGAATCGGAAGTATAAATTATAGTTACAAATTCAATAAAATAAAATAATGTACACATATGTGCTGTATAATCACTTACCATCTGAATAATTCATACAACGGACGTCTCGATGTCGCGACATATTTTATATATGACGTAAAATTTTGCAATATATAATGAGAAATTATTTACAAACTTCCATGTGACTTTGAGTATATACCACGTACAGCGAAATAGCTAATTGTAGACGAACATAGTTGATCGTAGCTGACTACAAGCTGCAGCCAGTGGCCAGTGTTATTAGAGGGGCCAAGTTTTTCGTGCCCGCGTGACGTAACGATGACGTTTACAGTCACGTATATGTAATAGGCACTTTAGTTTTGCCTGGATCTCGCAGAAGATAAGTTAAATAGCTATATAAATAATTAAATTAATTAATATAATTTATGCATATTATTTTTTATTTCACATTTTTAATAAATTTTCCAACATTTCTTAAATTACTTTTAAAAGGGATTAAAGAAGAGACATACAAAATTTTTTACGTCCATGGATGCGCGCATTGATTGAAACGGAACGATTCTCTATGTCTATGTAGTCTATGCGCATTATGCGTGAAACGGAACGCACCCAATAAACCATACTCGACGTTAATTTGTTGGCTTTAAAAGTAAGAACCAATCACATTGATTACTACTAAGCGGTTTGTTCTGCTGAACGCGCCTCATTTTTAAACCCACCTCCCTCACCAATATCAATATGAATATCAACACTAATGCCGTCTATATATTTTATACATCTATGGTTTCGAGAAATAAAGTTTAAGCTATGGCAGCCGGTCCGATTGCGGAACGTAATCAAGGTATATCTCAATTTCTTGACTTAAATATCGTACTATTTTGATTAAGTTTTATAATTTTATTCCGATATTACATGGGAGGTTTGAAAATTTGATTAATAATCTATATTGTTGCGCGTTAAAAAAAATAGAAAAAATTAGATTGATTATTTGGTTGAGGTTAGTCTCCATAATAAATGTATATCTATATTTGTTTAAATATCTAAAGAAAATTTAGAACATGTACATTATACAGATATTTACATAAAAATGTACAGATGCAACAATATACGTCGGAGGACTGGATGATAAAGTTACAGAGTCCCTCATGTGGGAATTATTTGTTCAATCAGGACCCGTTGGTAAGCAATTTTACTCGTTACAATTGTATACATTACACGTAGATTTGGAGATATGTATATACATTTTCTATATTTTAAAAAGATACCTGAAGTATATAAAACAAATTTCAATTTTGTTACAATTATTCAAGGCTGTAAATGGATATGTGTAATATTTGATTTTCTCGAATATGAAAAATATGAATAATATTATCTCTAAAAATATACGATCTTTCCTTTTAGTTAATGTACACATGCCGAAAGATAGAGTAACTCAAATGCATCAAGGATATGGTTTTGTTGAATTTATGGGAGAAGAAGATGCAGATTATGCCATTAAAATCATGAACATGATTAAGCTCTACGGCAAACCTATTCGAGTGAACAAAGCTAGTGCGCATCAAAAGAATTTGGATGTTGGAGCGAATATATTTATAGGAAATCTTGATCCAGAGGTGGACGAAAAATTGTTGTATGATACATTCAGCGCATTTGGTGTGATTCTGCAAACACCAAAAGTACATACTTTATTTATTTAACCATACTAATTTTATATTATGAACTATAGAATTTCTAACTATCTACTATATCAATTCTTCTCAATTTTATCAATGATTGTGCATTATAGATAATGAGGGATCCCGAGACTGGCAATTCGAAAGGCTTCGCTTTTATCAACTTCGCTTCTTTCGACGCTTCGGATGCAAGCATCGAGGCGATGAACGGCCAATATTTGTGCAATCGGCCGATCTCAGTGTCGTATGCTTTCAAACGTGATGCCAAGGGTGAAAGGCATGGTAGTGCCGCGGAAAGACTTCTAGCCGCTCAGAATCCGCTGAGCCAGGCGGACAGACCGCATCAATTGTTCGCGGACGCACCACCACTGGCGCCGCCGCCGATGCCGAACTCGAACGCAAATGCTCATCAATCTGTTCATCATCCTCCGCATCACGTGATGCATCACGGAATGGTCGTGCCACCGCCGCCGCCGCCATCGACTCCGGGACCCCCGATGGGTCATCCACCTCCCCCGCCTGTGCCACCGCCACCATCCAGTGGATTTCCACCGGCAAACATTCCTCCGCCTCCTCTGCCACCGATGTCTATGGCGCATCCTCCTCTACCACCGGGTATGCCGCCTCCGTTGCCGCCGATGCCTGTACCGACCTCACAGGCACAGTCGGCTGCTTCGAGGATGATGGCACCACCCCCACCGCATTGGGCTATGGGAGCGCCTCCGCAGGGACAATTTCCACCGCCTCCGCCGCCATCCGCTACCGGTGGACCCTCGCAATACGGACAATTCCAACCACCAACGCCGAGGCCACCCCCGGCTTGGCGACACCCGCCACCGCCGCCTGTCTCGCAGGGTGGTCCACCGCCCCCGCCCCCTCCTCAATTTCGACCACCTTTTCCACCAAGAGGACCACCGCCACCCCCACCTCCGCACGACGGCAACCAATATTAATATTTCTTATAGTTTAACATTTTTATATCGCGTGGACGATATAATTAGTAAGCATACATATATCACAATGAATATATTATTATTTTTGCAAAAATCAGCATTTTTTAAAATTAACGTTTTTATTGTATCTAAATAAACTTATTTACACATACATATATATTCATTGCTATAGATTATAGATTAAGTGATTAACCGAAGTATATAGACTAATCTTACTCGGTTAATTAACTGACTTAATTAATTATTTAATAGCAATGCTGAATAAATTAACGGCACACATGAGACGAACAATGCTAATTATAACCGCACGGTTTTGCTCGGTCATTTTTCTATCGATTGGCCGTGTTGCGTGAATAACTTACCGCGTTTGTTCTATCGATTATTTCGTGCTTGTCCAGCCCAGTAAATGATAGCATTAGTCGAACACGGACTCTATCGTTGAACATCCTTTAGAGAAACGTTGTTGCGTCAAGCGATTTTTAAGGAGATTTGCCGCGTTAAATATGACAGTGATAAAATTATTTTTAAGAACAGATTGTTAAAAGAAAATTCGTGCGCGATATATCGCACCTTATAATCTTGATTTAGGTAAGTAGAACAAAGAACAGGTGTTAGCACCAGAGGGAATCGGCTCGTGTTTCTCGAAAATAATGCGAGTTTTTTTTTTTTTTTTTTTTTTAGACCATTTACATGGACGCAATCCTCTTTCGTCAATCTGTCATCGCGCATTGAACATAGACGCAGACTTTATTATAGAAACATGAGCGGTCTCGACAACTAAATTTTTAATACGATCACGCGGACAATGAGGTGCAATGCGAGTGTCCGAACGGGATAGACATGACACTATCTTATTACGAATGTAACTTTGATCTCAAAAACAACAGCAACAGTGACGCGATCGAGTCATACGCGTGCACATCCGAATATTGTTTGTATTGTCGTAATTCGCAGTGCTGTCTCATACTGCAACGGCGACCAACACGTCATCTCTGGGAAACCTGGTATTTTTGGCTCGGCGTTGCTTTGCTCGCTGTTTTTCTTATTTTTTCGGTGAGCATATTGATAAAAGTGAATTGAATTCTCGTAGGATATACTCTCAATACGCGCATGTAACATCGCAGAATGTATTGCACGTAGGGTGTCTACTTCCTGGAAAAATATGGAAATCTCAGAAATTCTTTTTGTACCTGGAAAAATCAGGAAATTCTCGTGGAATTTATTGGAACTTTATTAAAGAATTATTGAAGGATTCTCTCTGATACTTTTGCTCTTATATTGTATAAGCAGTCCGCCGATAAACAAAGTTATATCTGTGTATGAATTATGTATTTAAAATATATTATATATATATATATATATATATATTCAATGTTTTAACAAGATATTGAATATGCAGGACATATTTTCTATTGTAATTTTCAGTGATAAAAAAAAATGGAAATGTTAGGCAAATGAGAAATGTTCATCTTACGAAAACTATTAAGTTTTTTTTTCAGTATATTTGCAAATTTAGCACTTGAAACTTAAGAAACTCTGTGTTTTTCCTTTGTATAAATAAAAAGAATTAAAAAACGCATATAATAAAAAAATTTATTTTAGAAATTTGCACCAAAAGACCTCTTGCATCAAAATATTCTCTTTTTTCCTGGAATTCTCTAAATAAAAATACTTGAAAAAGCAAAAAATTTTTTAAAAATTTGCTTACAAAATTGAATAAAAACGCTCTGATAAAAATGGAAACACATTTATGAGATACTCTGAAAAATTTTGTCAAAAGTTTCTCTTGACCCCATATACCAGAAACAAAACATAAATAAAACTGATATTTATTGGTAATGGCGGAACTAAAAATGTCGGTATTATCGACCCTTTTAGTTACGTTTAGATGAGGGCGCTAACCCGTCGGAGTTCGCCCGTCGGTTTAGGATCCCCTTAATGTTTGAAAAAATAAAGTGTGTTATGTTTTTATATAAAATATTTTTACTGCAATGATAACACATAGATATTATATATATATATATATATATATATTTATATTTATTCAATATCTTAACAAAATATTGAATATGCAGTACATATTCTTTATTGTAATTTTTAGTAATAAAAGAAAATGAGAACGTTATACAAATAAAAAATATTTATCTTACGAAAGCTATCTAGTTTTTTTTTTTTTTCACATTTGCAAATCTAGCATTTGAAACATAAATGGTTCTGTGTTTTCCTTGGTATAAGAGAGAGAAAGATATTAGAAAATGCATACAATAAAAACACTTATTTTAGAAAGTTACTTCAAAAAAATCTTTCAAATATTTTCTTTACCTGAAATATTGAACAAAAATATTCTGAAAGGTTAGAGAATTTTTTACAAGATTTAAGAGTGTGTAGACACCCTGTGCACGTTAATGCTCCCTCAAATCAAGATATTTGAAAAATATCTTTAGTATTACAATTTTTCAATAATAGGAATTGAGAGAGAAATGTTTTCTATGTCTAAATTCCTCATCATTATTTAGTAGCGTGCTAAGCTAAGGAAACTTCTGATTCGTTTTGAAACTAGGTGAGCAGCTACCTAGTCAGTAATCACAGACATAACATTCAAGGTACAATTCCGATCGGACAAAATGCAGAGAATGTCGACGATAATAGACGGAATGACCGACAGTTCAATCAGCCGAGAAATAATCAGGATCAGATATCTATAAGCGTAATCCCTTCAACATTCTTGCCGCAAAGAAAGATGTTGATAATCGATGCGCAGCCGAGCATCATGCATATGAGTAAGGAAAACCAACGTCTTTCTCATTTTACATTCACCGCTAGTCTATATAATGTACACTTGCATGTGTATATCTGTGAAAAATCGTTCGGGATTACATTGAGCGAAATTAAAGAACGAGAGTAGAGCTATTGATTTGAATAAGATTGGCATTAATGATAAGCTTTATATGAATCGTGGGGTATTTCATAGTAAGCACTTCCAAGTTCCTGAATATTCTAGTCTCTGCAGATTGAAAATAGTTCTGTTCTCCCGATTCTTTATCCCTTAAATATGGAGCTTTTTATTATTAAATTTTATATTCTGTCCTTCTTCCATAAAAAAGCTTTAATATACTTTTTTTGTATGATTTTTTTGTTAAATAATAAAATTACGTATAGATCTCCTTTTAATTCATTTTCAAATATTTAATTTTCTGAATCTCTATCGATCATGATCATATAAAGAGAGTAAAAATATTATATATATATATCGCGCACATTTACACGCTAATAAAACGTGGAAAATATTGATTTATATTTCCAGCACCCGTTGTTGCGTAATAAAGCGCCACTTTGCCGGTTGCGAGATCGAAACGAATGGGAAACGTGACGTTCTCTCTGCAACGCTTACATCTCGCAACACGATAATACACGCCACGGCACGCATATAATCGCTACGTCTTCTCGTCTTCGATGAAACGTCGTAGTCTCGCTCTATTACGGAGACTCACGCAACACTTAACTTGACTAACACTTGTTTATTTCACGTGTAACAACCGGTAGCTGGCTATAATGCGCCAAGAACATGAAGAACTTCCGATAGTCGCGAGAGAGAAAGAGCTTTACTCTTCGAGATATGAATTCCTATGATTATTTTTTTATATAAAAATTGATATCAACTTCCGTAACGGATTTAGAATTGTTGTGGACCGAATAAATTTCACTGTTTTTCGTGATTAATGTGCTACTACAGGGTGTCTACTTCCTAGAAAAATATAGAGAATTCTCAGGGATATTTTTTATATCTGGAAAAAAAAAAATTAGACGATTCTCATGGAATTTTATTGAAATTCGGGATATTTTTTTTAAAATGGTTCTTTCTTGGATAATTATATATATTGTAAGCAATCGATTCATATTAGATTGACCAAGTTGTGAGATAATTATATATATTCAAAATATATTATAAATATGTATCTATTTCTGTTTGTATATATATCCAATGTCTTAACAAATTATAGAATGTGCAGTTCATATTTTTTATTGTAATTTTTAATAATAAAAAAATAAAAATGTTATACGGGCGAAAAAAATGTTTATCTTTCGAAAGGTGTTCAGTTTTTCTCAGTACATTTTCAAATCTAGCACTTGAAACTTATTTTTCTTATAAATGAAAAACATTAGAAAATGCACAAAATAAAATACTTATTTTAAAAAGTTACATCCAAAATATTTCTAAAAAATCCTCTTTATCTGAAATTTTAAACAAAAAAGCTTGAAAGATCAGGGAATTTTTTATAAAATTTGAGTAGACACCTTGTATTAACATAATGAAATATCCAAGTTTTATCAAAGCGCCATAACTTTGCGCACTTTATAACATATTTCGACAAACACATCGGTATTTATTTTTGTTCTCTTCTATACATATATATATGTGCGGAATATTAGAAAATTATACAAAATTATATTTCAAATTATGGATTCATTATTTATTAAACAAGTTTGGAACTTTTTATTATGCTAATTACTCGCATTTCGATTGCCTTGCTACATGTTCTTAATCCATATTTCATTTATAACTCGTAGGATGCTACTCATTGTCAGAACTCTAATAAAAAAACCAGAAATGCGAAAAAATTTACTATTCTCGAGACTTGGATGTATCTGATGTATACGTCACACGAAAAATTATGATTTCCGAAACGCGGAGATCTGTTTTATTATAATTATTATATTTTATAGTTTTAACCGTGTTCTTTCGATTTCGAAGATTTAATCATTAACAGCGTTAATTAATTTTTTTTTTCATATGATCGCCGGGTGATAAGTATATTGTCAGGTTTTCGCAAAATGTCATATGAAAAATTGCGATATGTCTTGCTGTTTGACCGGACCTCGCACGCCGAAAAAACTTCCGAGGTGAAGATTCTGCCTTCCCCAAGGAGTGTTTTTGTCAGCTGACATGCAAAATCCTGCATCCGATCAGTACAAAATAGTAGAGTGTTCTTCATTGCGAATACCGGTCATCCCACGTTCATCGGGGAGCCGCGAAAGCGAAGTAATAAAAGAAATATCGGCTGATCATTCGCCACACGTCGCTTCGCCATTTTGTCGGTGAGTAATACCGCCCGCAATGGGCCATACTACGGCCCTATCGCTTGAACTCATGGAATAGAGAATCGGCATCGCATCCGATTCGCGCCTATCGCGCCTATTTGGTATATCGCAAATGCCGCCCTTCGCAGCCCTGAATCTGAATCACCGTTCGACGTTCGATATCCCGATCGATAGCGACACCGGCCATCGGTGTAGCGCCCATCTCGCGCCGTTTTTTTTTTTTTTTTTTAATCGTACTACATACAAATTATATCCATTTATGCACTCTGTCCATAAAATACACGCATAACACACTGTAATTCACGCTCACATTTATTGTCGCTCTCCGTACACCCAATGCATACACAACTCGTATACTCACACTTCCTGTACATACGATACACGCACAGCGTGTATATTATAATTCGCACGTATGCATATATACGCGCTCTATACATACAGTGCACTACCCGACAAAGATTCGTTCCGTTTTCCTAGCGAGATGAACGTAGGAGTGGGGATATCTATGCTGCGTTCACCGTAAAAGAGTATTAATGAAATTTTAAAAGAATATATTTCGCAAAGAGGTATACTAGTAGTAATATAGATTACGAGTATTAATTTTGTGTCTTTAAATATTATCGAAAATTCGCGTCTTCGTAGGTTCGCAAGTTTGTAGGACATGTAGGAGAATGTATTTTGCGAAGGGTTTGCGCGATAATGGCGTTCACGAGCGGTAATGTGTCTTAAGACGCTCGAAAATTCGTTTCTGAATTAACAGGAGAATATATTTCGTGAAGAGGTATGCGCTACTTGGCGCAAGAGATGGTGAGGACTGGATCTCTGGGAAGGCGTGACCGATGGCAAATAGATGGTAAAGTACTCCGCGCTGATTGGTTGGATCGTGGGTAAATAGAATA